TTTGAATTAATTATGAGTGAATTAATCAGTAGGCAAAATTATTTGCAAGCAAAATTAATTAAAGTTTTGAGAAAGGTGAAAACTAAGGCTATTTATACATTCGAGAAGGCTATGTCTACTAATAATAAAGTGATTGATGGTAATAATAAATGACTAATAATATAAATATTTGGACAATCGATTGATAAGACTTTAGTATGTCTTAATCGTTGAATGATAAGATATAATATGTCCTTATCCGGTAACCCTATCCTGATGATCATTTCGGTTAACGGTGTGATCCGTCTGTTTGTCGCACGATGATCGTCGGCGTTCCCCCCGGTGATCGACGTCGCCATCTAATCTGCCGTGTGACCATACACTTCGTGAAATTTTCAATATCACTCCGTTCCTGGTATTATTTGATTACCAATAATTTGTCTTATGCTTAAATGTTTGAGATTTTTTACCATACCTTAAAGCATTGCAATCAAAAAACAATTGACTGCGTTTCAAGATAATTTCGAACTCCATGATATAGATTATTGCTAAAAGATCTATTTACAAGGGCACATGAAAATAGGTGATTATAATTATGTCGAAAGTTATTAAATATTATATAGTAGATTCATTCGGTAATTGGATCATGTTGAAACAAATCGAAATTTTGGCTACATCTATAAAAATGCGTAGCATCGAACGGTCGTTCATTCCATTATCATAATCCATAGCATACAGTTTTTAATAATATTCTAACGCTTTGTTTTCAATTATATCATCTTTTCCCATTCCTACTCCATTGCTGCAACAATTTTCATGGTTATATGTTCTACCACCTTGATCCATCGCATTTTGATCTCCCATTCTTAAACCAGGTAGGTTCTTATTTTTCCATCCATGATCTTCTCTCCTTTTCATCAGCATCACTGACATTGTTCTTTGTACTTTTATCATTTGACGTCATGTTCAAATCCTTCATGCTCGTTCATTTCGATTCTGATTCCATCTTGATAACCACCTCCAGTATCATATATTCCATCACTTTCCTATTTTACTTCCTTTTCATTCATCACGTTCGTATATCCATCCTTATTTCTCATATTATTCTTTTGTTTCATTCTCACATGATTTCCAACATTAGTCTTTTCGTTTTCATACCATTTCTATGTCGCTTAGAGTCACCGGATTTACCACCATCGTCGTTTTCTACACTACTTCTCTTTTCGTAATAACATACAAAATCGTTGATTCCATTGGCAATTGTAATAATGAATGCTTCATGTTTATCCTCTTCAACAACGTCATCACTTGAATCAGGTACGTTTCACATTTTTACTTCTTTCATATGACTTGCATTCTCATGGCTTGATATATTAACGTCCAACTTTTCATTTATTCCATCTTCATCAACATACATTATCCTAATATCTTCTACAATATCTTTTAATCTTCAATTTTATATTCGTTCCTTTCTGCATTAAATGTCCCATTGACATTACCCATTTCTACAGGTTTTTGATAATAAATGGATGCCTTTCCTTCATCCTTTTCGGCATCATCATCAAGATCTTCCTCAACCTTTTTATTATTTATGACGGGCAAGTCACTATTTTATTTCTTGATTCATTTAATTTTTTACCATCGCATTAACAATATTTGTTTCTTCATTCTTTTCACTTTTCAATTTCACTTCCACCCTTAATGCTATTTCCTTCGCTTGGTCATATGTTTCGGGTAAAAATGATTCAATCTCATTACGGTACTTTAAACTAAAGGTACACCAAACTGTTTTTCATCTTCCGGAACTTCACCGTTCAGTATCATCACTCGACTCTCATATCGCTTGGCATACATCTCTACATTTTCTTCATCTCCTTGTTTTATTCGCAACACACGCATCAACTGATCGATATAATCTTCATCACAATAGAACGTTTCCATCTTTTCAACTCCAATTCCGTTTCTTACAACTTTCCTAACCCTTTTTTTATAAGTTACTGTCCTTACGGCTTTTACTTTGCGAGAGTTACTGCCTTTACCCAGGTCCTTCTCTGTCATGTGGTTAATGAAAATATACCGTTATACACTCATTTCTGATCAGTGGTTCATTTTAGCTTTGCACCCGCTTTGTTCACTGCTATGTTTCTTTCTCCAACACTGTCATCTTCTTGATAAACGTCCTCTCACGACATTCTCAACACAAGGCACTAGGAAGTTATTACTAGGCACAGTTTCTTAAGAAATCGAAGTATGAGTTCGATAAGATCGAGCCTTAAAATAATTTTGACCAATCCATTTATGAAAAATTTCACATTACCGTGTGTTATTATTAAAATCATGTGATAAATTCTCAATATAAAAACCTGCAGTATGAAATTCTTTCAGTGTATACGTCATACTGCTAAATTAGCGATGAAAAAAGTAGGACCTTGAGCAGTCCTAGCATCGAATAATGAAGCTTTTTTAGTAATAACAAATTGCTATTGCCATGCACAATTGTGCTTCAGAACTTTAACTACAACGCAAGCTACATTTTTTGTGGGTGATAGGCTGTTTAAGGCCTTGCATTTTTTTTAAATACAGTTATTTGAATTGAACTATATCATATATATCGAATATTTTATTCATCTCATGTAAATTTATTATATTTAAGCCGTGAGGTTCACCATACGCTTAAACAATTTTTTCTTGCACTTTTTATGACTTCGATGAAGTTTTCCGATAACTACTGATCAAATTTGATAAATTTTTTTTATTTTAATTCTATACACTCGTAGAATTAAAATAAAAAAATTTTTATCGAATTTGGTCAAGCAACTATCGAGAATTATTTGAAAATATCTCTCAAAGTTTAAAAAAAGTTTGGTCCACCCATCATTAATTAAATGCTTTTTGAGTTTTTAAAACTTTGAAGTTTTCTCGATAAATACCTGCCCAACTTCGATGAAATTTTTTTATTTTAATTCTATTAATGGGTTGAATTAAAATAAAAAAAATTTTCATAGGATTTGTCAGGTAGTTATCGAGAAAATTTAGCTCAGAGTTTAAAAAAAATCTGACCCGTCGATTAATAAATTAAGTATTTTTGAACTTTTTAAAACTGAGCAAATTTTCTCGATAACTACCTGAAAATTCGATAAAAACTCTTTTATTCTAATTCGATATATTCATAGAAATAAAATAAAAAATTTCATTGAAGTTGATCAGGTGATTATCGAGAAAACTTCGCTAAAAGTTTAGAAAAAAAATCTGTCCGGTATATCACTAAATTAAAGCTTATGATATTTTTTATGAGACCTTAAGCAAAGTTTTCTCGACAACGACTTGACCGAATCCGATGAATTTGTTTCTTTTAATTTTCGAATTAAAAGCTCGCTCAAAGTCTAAAAAAAATCTATCTCGTTAAGTAAAAATTTTTTTAAACCTAAAATTTCTCAATAACTAAATTTATCCAACTAAATTTGATGAAAAATTTTTTATTTAATTCTACATGTTAATAAAATTAAAATAAAAAATTTCGTCAAGTTGTTGTCGAAAAAACTTCGCTTAAAGTTTAAAAAGAATCTGTCCCATATTTCTCGTGCTTCTAAATTTTTCAACAATTAAAGCAAGGTTTTCTCGACTAGCATCTGACCAAATTCGATAAATTTTTTTATTTTTTTATTTTAATAATTAAAATAAAAAAAAATTTAATTTAATTCGGACTGATAGTCATCGAGAAAACTTCGCTCGAAGTTTTAAAAAAATGTTTACATGTATGTGATCCGTGATTAATTTTGATTGGGTAACTAGATATACTCGGTGATGCTAGGTAGTATAAAAAATGAGACTTGACAACTGGTTTTATTACAGATGGTTGTTAGAAGATTGATGAAAATTTGCAGCTTTATGTTGATGTTGTCTAAGAAAAAATAAATGTTTAGTCTTGATGTTATTACTATATAAAAATAAAAAAAAGTATGTAACGTATGTCAGTACGTACGTACAAGTAGGGCTGTAAATCGATTCTAAAAACTAGAATCGATAAT